AAAGCATGATGACTCATATTTATATGCCACGCTTTTAGGCAAAGTCTTTGACCATAGCGATTGTTTGTGGTAATTACTTTAGAGTTTTCCCACGCAATCTCGTGTTTGGTGTAACATATATGTTCGGCTAAAGCTGATTTTCTCTTGTCTAAAGTTGAAACAGGCCTTTGATGTTCTTTTAGCCGTGTACCAAACTGGCGTTTAGACTAACCCAAATACTCTTTGTCGCAGTCACCGCATGGTATAGAATATATAGCATGATGAAAATAAAAGTCAGTTTGGTTTTGTTTAAAATCATTATTCGACGGCTTTTTCGTATTGTTTTAGAAGCAAGTGGCCGACGAGGATGGGATTCGAACCCACGCGTGCAAAGCACAATAGATTAACAGTCCATCGCCTTAACAACTCGGCCACCTCATCTGAACTGGAGATGTATTCAAGTTGTATTCATGTTTTTCTTAATTTTCAACTGATAATTGCTGATAGATAATGCCGAAATTTTTCAGATGAAAATAAATGTCAATTATATCATTTTTTTAAAAAATCGCCAGTCGACTGGTTTTTGCTATTTTCCTTTAAGAAATTGTGGAAGATCTGGACGCGATTCGAAACCACAAGCGCGGACAAATTGGATTGACAGTCTGTCATTTAATTGACGAAAAAGTGTTAAAATATTCATTATTCAAGAATTATGGTGAAATTTAACTACAATCGTTAATCGACATGTACAGGTTTTTCTCATCGTTTAAGAAGTAACAAGCCGACGAGGATGGATTCGAACCCACGCGTGCAGAGCACAATGGATTAGCAGTCCATCGCCTTAACCACTCGGCCACCTCGTCTGAACTAGAGTTGCATTATTTGAATTGTACTAATGTTTTTCTGAATTTTCAACAAATTACTGCTATAGATATTATAAATGCCGAAATTTTTCAGATCAAAATAATTGTCTATTTCTATATATTTTTTAAAATTGTTATTCGACTGGTTTTTGACAATTTTCTTTAGGGAATTGTGGAAGATCTTGATGCGACTCGATCCATACGCGCTGAGTGCAATGGATTAGCAGTTTATCAAAATCCAAACAATCCATCCCACCACTTGGCAATTTCATCTAATTTGACGCAAAAGTGTTAAAATATTCATTATTGATGGATAATGGTGAAATCATAGGCGTACGAGACAGGGAGGCAGGGGACAACTGCCCCCTCCCAAATTTTGGGAAACCATAGAAAAAATTCGGGCAAACTTTCAACTGCCCCCCCCCCTGGAAAGCGTCTGTTCCGTACGCCTATTTTTGTTTAAAAATCGTTATTCGAGAAGTTTATCTTAATTATTGTTTAAGAAGTAAGTGGACGACGAGGATGGGATTCGAACCCACGCATGCAGAGCACAATGGATTAGCAGTCCATCGCCTTAACCACTCGGCCACCTCGTCTGACCGGGAGATGTACTTGAATTGTACTCATGTTTTTCGAAATTTTCAACTAATTCCTGATAGATAATGCCGAAATTTATCAGATGAAAATAACTGTCCATTTCCATTTTTTGTCAAATTGGATTAATAGTCGACTGGTTTTTGCTATTTTTCTTTTAAGAAATTGGGGAAAATCTGGATGCGATTCGAATTCACATGCGCTGAGCACAATGGATTAGCAGTCTATCACAACCAAAACAATCCATCTCCCCACTCTACAGTCTCATTTAGTTTGACGAAACAGTTTTAAAATATTCATTATTGACGGGTAATACTGAATATGAAGGTTATTTCTGTTCCTTTGTTTAATTAAAAATCGTTATTCGACAGCTTTATTCGACAGGCAGTATTGGCGTAAACGCGAGCTTGCTTTCAGTGTTTATCAATCACTAATACTTCATGCTAAATCAATGTTTGGAAAATATAGGCGAGGTGTTGCTGCATGCGAGTATTTCTAGTTATTTAATGATATCGATATCAGCATGTTGTTATTTAAAGGATAACGGTATCATATCATCATACTGTATATTGTTATTTTAATAAAATCGGTATCACTAATTAACATTCATGGTATATTAATTAAGTACTGTTTAATAGTTTAGTTTAGTTTAGTTTAATTAATTCGCCAGTAAATTACAATAACATACATATATAACAAGTTACAAGTTTACTAAACAGACGACTGGCAGGAGTTAGATACAGGACTAATGTCCCAGTTGCCATCCTACCCCTATACATCAATACAATACACTAAGAAATATTCACGCAGGTAAGCAATACGTAGCTAATTTATCGAAGTATAGGTTAGTGATTTTAGTCTTAAATAAAGTAATTGAATTACAAGATTTTAAATTAGAAGGTAACGTATTCCAGAGTTCTGTAGCCCTAATGAAAAACGACTTTCTATAATAGTCTTGTTTGTGCTTAATAATCAAGTTGTAGTTATTTGGGTCGTAATTACGTGTCCGATAGCAATAAACGTAAGTGTTCAGGTACTTATTCACGTCCATAGTTATTAGCCCATTTCTGGACTTAAACAATAAAGTTAAATCCGAAATCTCTCTTCTGAGCAGGAGTGTTTTATTAGGTTTAAAGCCACGAGCGCGAAGCGCGAGTGACTTTAGACCTAATAAAACACGACCTGCATGTTAATTAAACGGCTTCAAACACGACTACAAATTCAATAGATATACTGCCTTATTAGTATTCTTTATATAAAAAATACTAATGAGGACACGACTACAATAGATACTGCCTTATTAGTATTCTTTATGTAAAGAATACTAATTAGGAGTGTTTTATCAGGTTTAAAGCCACTGCACGTGACATATTATGGTTGACATGATTTGCCAATAAGCTTATGAATTATTAATGAGTGTTTGAATTGATGTTAATTTGGCATTTCTATTGTTACATAATCCTTCCTATTGTTAAGTCATTGTAAGCACCGCTTGGCCCCATATGGGAGGTATCACTCGCACTATATATCTTGCTTTAAAATCCAGTGATGTGCTCATATATGATCATTCTCATGAGGATACAGGATTTTGGTATGTATACGAGGATGCTCATAAGCATACTGGATTTTGGTACATATATATTTCGGTACATATATGAGCGTGCCCATCAGGGCCTCCCTTTTTTTTGGACACCCTGTTGGTTAATTACTATAAGTTTAAGTAGTTAACCAACAACAGAGGGGGCATTTTTATGGGACATCCGGTATATAAGCACGTAATAAAACAAGTTGGCTACCATATTGTAATAAAAGTGCATAAACTGTAATGTATATTTCATTATCGTCTTCGTCTGAGTTGTTGGAATCCTTGTCGGTAGAAACGTTACAAAACGTTAATAAATACCAGTCCAATTATAAGGTGGTTATCGGGTGAGTTTATATTCAGAATGGCCTCAGGGTTAGTGAATATGGTGGGCTTATACACGGGTGAGCTTGTATACACGGGTGGGCTTATATACACGGGTTGGCTTATATATACACGGGTGGGCTTATACACGGGTGGAAGTATATTTAATAAGGGAATTTTAACGACATTCTCTCAGTCAAGGCGCGGTTCAAATACGGCGTTCTATTGAAAAACACAGCCTATATGCAGTTCATTGTTAATTCGTACCTTGACAATTTTTTTGCATTACAATGTCA